AAAAATTACAAATTAATCACGAACAAAAAAAAAAAATCTTGAAAATTGAGAGGCCCTCTTCTTGAATATAAACAAATATGATCCTTTTACATCTCTGCTCCGTCTTCTCTGTATTTCGCAGAGAAGAAGAGGATCGATAGAGGAGAGTGTCAGCTTCGTTTAAAAAATAAAAAATAATAAAATACACAAAATACGGTTGTAAAAAGCTTTTGTAATTTGGCCTTTAAAAAAAATTGTATTTAAATAAATTTCTTTGGTAGGACATGTTTTTTCCAAAAAAATCGAGTTTATCTCATAAATTTCTTAGATAATTTTTTAAATAAATTTGTTGAAATTTTTATTTCAGATATTTTATTAGTAGTTTTACCAAACATTTTTATTATATAATCTAGTTTTTTTAGCTATAATTCATAAAGTATAAACTTCAAAAATTACTTTATAATTATAAACTAGCTTTTTTATCACTTAAAGGAATTATATTTTGTATTTTGGCATATTATTTTTAGATTTTTTGTTTTAAAAAGCTTTTGTAATGTGGTGATAGAATATTATATTTTGGATAGTGAGGACATGTTATTTTTAGAGTTATTGATTTGTGTTTGAATCGGTCGCTATGTTATTATGAGTTATTTATTGTAGTACAGTTATCCAACTAGATTAATCAAACTGTTAATTATATTTTGTAAATCAGTATTTGATTTTGTGTATCAGTAAATAAAGTATTACAAGTTATATGTATGTATATAATATTAACACTATAACCTATATAATAATATTATATTCTAATTTTTAACATTAGTAAAAACATGCAGTATATAACTCTCATTCACTATATTTATTGGATAAAATAAAATGGATAATGTAGTTTTTTGAAATTTGAGAGATAATAAATAATTAATTAGCTGAAAAATATATCAAATTTACTACTATAACAATTATTTATGAGAGATTAACGGGTTTGATTATACCATGAAAACCAATTAGTGTACTTGAAAAACAATCACTTAATTGATAAGAAAAAGAAGATAATATTGATTTTAGAAAAAATAAATTGAATCAAGAGTTTCACGGTATAACTTTACCTTTTTTTATACTTATTTAACTTTCATATATCATTTAGTATAAAATATATTTAGATAGTTTTTATTAGTAACTATTATATGATAGAATAGTTAAAAAATATAATTATTACTCAATTAATATAAAATATAATAGTCACAGTTCAATCCAAAAAAACAAACGAGAAACCAATTTTTTTTCATTAAATGAATCGCTTTTTTTTTCGAAAAAAAAAAACAACAACGACGATGACGATAAAAAGATCTCTTCAGGAAAATGGCCGAATGTAAACCAAATAATGGAGTAGACAATTGAGTCTGATTGGGTTCAACACTTAAGGGTATTTGCCTTTGAGCTTCTATTTTCTTCTCGCTCATGATTGTGTGCAAGCTACTAGATAGCCAACTAATGAGCATAAAATGATGAAGATGTGATGTAATCTTGGTAAAGTGAAAGTTCATTTTTTGCCTTTAAAGATTTACTTATTTTTATTTTACGGTACTTTAAAATTCATCTCAATTAATTTGAGTAGATTGTATTTTCTATATTGGCGTATTTATTAGTATTTTATTCAACTTGACGAATGTTAACAACTATCATTCATCTTTAACAAAACTACATATATCCCCTATATTCAATTGTAGCATGCGTTAAACTTAAGTGACAGTCTTGTATGCTTCGAAATCTTATTTGACGAGAAAAAACATGTTTCTTAGGTTGTTTTAGATAAAAAAAAAAAAATATTATTCTAAATCAATAATTTTAGGTTCGAAAATTCCAAAAATATTGAAAAACTAATTTGGTAATTCTAAAATATTTTGACTAATATAACCTTAAGTTGTATAGGAATTTTTGGTTTTAGAGTGGAACCCATTTAAGCTTGTATATTGTGCTTGATGAAAAACTTGGTTTTGAGTTATTGATCATAACAAAATTCTTATAAGATAATATGAATAAAATTATATTAATCCAGCACAATCCACTCTAATGTAAAGAAATTGAATCTCTATTTGAGTCTAAAATATATTTAGAATAGATATATTTTTTTTTTTTTTGCTATCCATTTACAGATATCCCACACCACTTGTCGAGAATCAAAATTCTTCAAAATGAGAAATAATAATAAAAATAAAAATAAAACATTATGTCTTAATCGCATGACACTCTTTGCAAGCCGAAACAAACGACTTCAAAACCCTT